AATTAATTTCAATAAAACTAACTATAAAACATTTCGTCCCATATAAGAAGAACTGTGTTTCAAAAATAATGATCTCTAACAATTGAAATCATTTTCAAAGACAATATCAAAATTGTTTTTCTAAATGGATATAGCTTTCGGAGCTTTACCACTATTAAGAGCTTAAAGTCGGGATAATGTGCTTCCTGAGTTTCAAAGATTTGCTTTTTATCCTTTTTCTCTCAAGTCCCCCAACTAATAACAATAATATCAAGTTTTACAGAGAGAAGAAACTGGAAGAGGCACAAATCACTTCTAAAAATGCCAAGTACTGTTTCGATTAGCTTTTTTTTCTGATTCGCTTCATTTCTAGATATGAACATATTTCCTCACATTCTCGTCTGCAGAGTGACATTTTATTTCTCCACCAGATGTTGGTGTATTCCGGATGCTAATTCAGATAATGTGGCAACATGTTTTTGCCGTCTGTCTCGCTGGCAGATTTAAAGACTCATAAGCGATATCTTTATCTGCATTCAGTCAAACTTCTGCTGAGGCCTTCCTCCTCCCAAAGCCCGGTGGGGCTGGGGGATACGAAGGAGACGTCATTCTGCAATGTGACGGAGGACATTTCCATCTCTGACCCCAGGAAAGGTCAGTGTTTCCTCCTCTCTTGGTTTTTGTTTGCTTCACGATTTTCTGAATCAACAGAACCAGACTGTGCTCAGCTTATTGTGTGATTTATTGGATCAGGTCATGGGTCACCTCGGAAGTGATTTTTAGTTTAGCAAATTTAATATTCAACAGCTGCTTCTTGTTGTCTTTTGTTCACTCTTGAGAGATGCCCATTGACTGACATAAAAACATCACACACAATGATCCGTCTTTATTGACTACATTAGCATAGATTCACATGTTTTTTTTTTATTCCTAATCATTTCTCACTCATAGAAGAGGCTTGTTCATTACTGTTGACTGAGAGCTTGTGTCTGGAGGGATTTTCAATCAATCAGGTTCAGTGTTTTACAGAATCAGCCCAGAGAACTCTCTACTGGAGATCCAGCTGGGGAAGCTGCCCACCTGGCTGCCGGTGTGCTACGAGAGGTGGAACTCTTCGCTGGGAACACTGGTCTGCAGACAGCTGGGTTATCTGAGGTTTGTCTGAACTCTTGGCCAGATCACACTGGAGCTCTTTACAGTGATCAGCCTGATTGAGACCTGAGTGCTCACTCACTTACTTACTTTAATATTAGCCTGCTTTGCTAAGCTTGAAGGCTTGGCTTGTTTATGATCTACTGATACCTCATTTACAATCTTGTTTCACACCTTATGAGTCTAAATTATCTGTATACTCACTCCCACCCATTTCGCATATGTTCTCTTATCAGACTGACCAAGCATAAAGGAGTGAATCTAACCGATATCGGGCCAAACTATACTGATGGCTTTATACAAATTACCTCAGAACACAAGAGCAGTCTGGAAAATATGTGGCAGTTCAGGTAAGGCAATTTGTCTCAGGACATCATACTCATAATGATGAAGGGAAAATTGTGGCTACTCGCACATTAATTATGCATCATTAGTTACCCAATTTATTTTCATTTAGGGGGAGCTGTATCACAGGGAAGGTTATCGCTTTGCAATGTTTTGGTGAGCAAATTGAACTTAACTTTTAGTTTGACTTTGCACCTAACACAAAGCCCTGTAGCTCTCGCCTAATTCTTGTGAAAAGCTTCACATCAGAGGCAGAGTGAATGATGACATTCGCTGCAGCAGTTTTCTGGCCAATCCGATTCAGCTCCTCTTTTTGTGATGAATGGATCTCTGTGTAGAGTGCGGGACACGAGCTAAGCTGCCCAGGATAATCGGGGGAGTTGAGGCCACGCTGGGCAGGTGGCCCTGGCAGGTCAGCCTCTACTACAGCAACCGCCACACCTGTGGAGGCTCCATCATCACCAGTCAATGGGTAGTCACAGCTGCCCACTGTGTGCACAAGTAAGACTGCTGACATTACCGGGCATTAAAAGGTCGGAGGTTACAGCCACGACCAAGGATAATAGTCAGTCTCTTATCAGTATCTGCTTTCTCTTTTCTGTTCTCAAATGTCAGCTACAGGCTACCTCAGGTCTCCAGCTGGGTGGTCTACGCTGGCATTGTGACCCGCAGCTCCGCTAAAATGGCTCAACATACAGGGTACGCTGTGGAGAAGATCATCTACAACAAGAACTACAACCACAGAAGCCACGACAGCGACATAGCGCTGATGAAGCTGCGGACGCCGCTCAATTTCTCAGGTCGGTCTCCTAATGAGCATTGCACACAGCACATGAGCTGAAAATGCAAAAACTGTAGTCTCAGTTTACTCCATTTTATTTACCTATCCTGATACACTACAGCAAAAACGCCCTTAATATAACACCACAAAAGCAGCTTTTTCCTCTTACTATAAACAATGATTCCCAGGTGTGTCAGGTGTGCTAACATCTGTATAATGATGATATACACTTTGAATCAAAAGGATGCAAGCACATGTTGCAGCACAGGATTAAATCCACCTCTGCATCCACAGCATCTTACAGAAACAACTCTTTATAAACATTCAAATGTATGCATACAACCTCAACAAAGATTGAAGAAAACACCTTCAGATGTTTAAAGGCATCTTAAATCCCTATGCTTCAAGCAACAATTACAAAAAATCCAGAATACATCAACATGCAAATACTCTTGTCTCCCGAAATGTAATTGCCGCACTCAAGATGACGCCCACTTCAGTGTATGTGCATGTACAGTTCAATTTTTAAACATTCACTTTCTGTACCTTGCATACTGGACCAGAAATGGCTTCCATGTTGAAAAGGGATGCTTGTTTGTTAACTCAGATTTAACATGAGCACAAAGAAACAACAGAGGAATGTAAAAACCTAAATATCCTCATGAAGTAACGATAAGTAAGCCAAGTTTTTAGTGAAGGGTGACTTTGTGAAACTAACTATGTTCAGAGTAAAAGTTAAATTTGATGAGGGGCACTTCGGGACAAAATCAAATCACATGGGGAAAAGTATGTCTTTCTCACAGTGTGGAAGAAAGTCTTATTGTAACAAAGATTTGAAGAAAAAATCCTAATTCAAACCAAATTATCACATTGTAATCTGCCAGATTTGTTGTATTAAGCAGCAAAATTCCCTTTTCCCTCCTTTAACTAGATACAATTAGGCCCATCTGCCTGCCTCAGTACGACTACGACCTTCCAGGAGGTACACAGTGCTGGATTTCTGGATGGGGATACACGCAGCCTGATGGCAGTAAGACGCTACTGCACTGCTCTAAAATAAATTTACCTCTGCTACAAATCAAGCAGGGTGACAGAGTGTGTCGAGCGTATTGACAGAGCAACCCTTAAATGTGTGTTTTCCCTCCTAGTTCACTCACCTGACACCCTGAAAGAGGCGCCAGTTCCAATAATAAGCACAAAGAAATGTAACAGCTCCTGCATGTACAATGGAGAGATCACGCCACGGATGCTTTGCGCCGGATACACAGAGGGAAAAGTGGATGCATGTCAGGTGAGACGTGTGTTTTTGAAGACTGCCATGCAGAGGCGTCTGAAAGATTCATCCTGTCTTCCGTTATTTGTTACAGTTGTATGAACAGTGTTTGTGTCTTACCTCTTCAGGGAGACAGTGGGGGTCCTCTGGTGTGCCAGGATGAAAATGTGTGGAGGCTGGTGGGGGTCGTCAGCTGGGGGACGGGATGCGCTGAGCCCAATCATCCTGGGGTTTACACCAAGGTGGCAGAATTCTTGGGCTGGATCTATGAGATGATGGAGGTAAAAATGCATTTTTTTAAATTCTGTTGTGGAAAGTAACTGAGTATTTGAACAGTACAAGTACCAGTAATGTGATGTTATACTCCACTATCTTTCCATAACAACTGTAGATGTAGCATTTACATGCAGTACATAATCAGGTTACTATTGATTAGAAAGCTATATAAGGTAGCTTAAATTAGCTTCACCTGGACTTACACATTGAAATGCTATTAATACAATAAGCAAAGCATAACACTCTTAAGGGGGATTTAAGTGTTGCCTGTCTAATTTTAAAACTACAAGTGCCTAATAATGGTTATGTTTAAATAACTTCTTGAATTTAGTGTTATTTATTATTTTTAAAATGAAGATACTGGTGCTTTCAGTTAATTGCATGATTACAAGAACTCCTGACACCACTACAGAGAGCCATTATTAATTTCATACACTGCCAATATCATTATTTTTGTATCCGATTGCTCATTATGATTCTGTCTCTTTGCAGAACTACTGAGAAGGCCTCATGAACCACACCAAGCAGAGGTCGCCACTGCTATAACTGTTTGAAACATCAAAAGCTATATTTACATCTTATATTTTTACTTTAAATGTCCGTCATATAATGTACACACAAAGACAGACTGAAAAAATACATTTCTATGTTATATTTTTCATGTATTGAATATAAATTATGCCTCTTACACGCCCTGTGTGTGTTGTGATTATTGAGCTGCAGCTCTGCTTCCCGCCGCCAGGGCGCACATGTGTGACGTTACATTCAGTTTCCATAGCAACAGACAACATTAGCCAAGTTAGCGGTAGTTGTTACACTAGTTTGACAGAAAATAGCTAGTTTGTTCTATTTACGGAATGTTGCTCAATGTTTTCTCAGCATTTTGAAATCAACTTTTTTTTTTTTTTTTTAACAGCACAGAGAAGTAGGGTTTCTGACTTTAAGGCCCAAACGTCGGCGTTTCTCTTGTTGTTTTCTTATCAAACAGCTGACTAGTTAGCGTGAACGGCTATTTAGCGGCTAAGCATTTAGCAGTTACCTTAACATGTCCTCCGCTGGAAGTACAGAGGATGTTTTGCAGCAGGTCAACCAGTTGTGGTCCATGCTGGATGATCTCTCTGAGAATGACCCTGCAGGCTACCGCAGGTTCATAGAGAAACAGATGAAGGAAGGAGATGAGTTCAGGTCGCCCCCTGAGCTCCACTCGACTCTGTGCACCGAAATACTGGTAAGTTACGTCGGTAGCAGCGGCCTAATTAAACCGGTAACTACGAGTCAACTTGACTTTCGCTATCACCAGCGAGATGTCACGACATACATTTTAGTCCAAGCAGCTGAAAGCACAGGTGTGTCTGACGGAATTGCTCCGTTTAGGTGTGCGGGGCCTCCAGGTGCATGTACAGGTGTTGCACCAAATTCCGTCACTGTGGCTCGGTTAATAGGTTCCGCCATATTGACCAAAACGTGATGTTAAACTTAGAGCTACAGTGTGAGACCTTTACGTATAAATGTAAGTCCTTACATCCAACTTGCGGCCAAAAGGCTGAAAACAATTGAGGACTGACAGATTAAGCCCATCTGTCGCACACCTGAGTTTTAAATGTCTCGTCACATTCCCGGGCTGGCGCACCGCCAGTGATGCTTCTACGTCAACCACCAATGATTGGTTTCCAGAGCGGAAGAAGGAAGCCTCCATTGAAATGTATTTATTTGTCACATTTACCTCGTGCTTTTAGGTTATTATTTAGTTTATTGATTCTTAAAGTCAATGTGTTTACTTATCATATAATGCTGACGTATTTTATTATAATTTTAACTTTATAATAGTGATCCAATCGTGACTGTAAAATTCTGGCTTTTTATTAAAAAGTTAGATCTAATACCCTTAATTTTTATATATCTCAGAGTTT